ACGCAGGTGTCTGCCGTGGGGCGCCTGCCCCTTCCCAACCCCGTTCTCCTGCTTCCACAGGAGTCCCTCTCAGCGCTGCAGTCAGAGCCACAGCATGCAGAATTCCCAAGTCTCCCTGATATAGATAGTTGTTCACTGATGCCCGCGAGTCAGATAAATTATCCCGGATTTTAGACCCTGCAAGGTGGTGTTTTTAAATGCGAGTGAGAGCGAGCAGCCAATATTTCATGCACTGTTTGGGGATTATAGAACTACTGCAATTGCTCAGACAACAAGAGAGAGCGGGGTGGGGGAGGAGGTTGCTGGTGAAACCTGTGCAGCGTTTCTGTCCAAAGCGATGCTCTGATCAACCAGCGTTCCAGGCGACTGGTTGATCAGAGAGTTGATTGGATCAGTCTGATAAGTTTCTCTGAAACTTATCGGAAAGCTGTGCATCCTGGGAAACGGCAGAGGGTCAATCCTCGAGTAAAAAATGAAAATATAGGACTAACTTTACAGCAGAATATACTAAAGTATATCCACGTCTAGTGAAGGGGAGGAACAGAGGCGGATCTAGACCAAATGAACCAGGGGGCCAGGAGGGGGGCAGCATGTTTTCATGGGGGCCCAGAAAAGCATGAAATAAAAAACAGGGCAACCGATTCAAATATATTAATATAGCTGCATGAAGTGAAATTTCTTTTCAATGAGGTTCAATAAAAGTTCTATTTCTTATGAGGTCAATATATATTTATAATTTAGGAATTTTACATATTTTTTTACTTAATCTAAATTAAAATGGCCTTTTTTCAGAATTAGAAATCAAGCAAAACTGATAAATTCAACAGTAAAAATTAGAGCAATTATTTTTTTATTTGTTGTGTGAGTAGATCATGATGTAATAACGTAAAATCAAGATGGGGTGTATTTTATTTATAAAAATAAAAAAATATGTTAGAACTGTAAATATACAGTGATATGTTTATATTACTATTTTTTATGATATGAAATTGTCTAGAGCTGTTTTAAACGAAATTTCTTCTTGTTTACACTCATGTACAAAATGACAAAATAAATCTGTCTGAGTCTTTAAGCCAATTAACCTGACAGTCATGTTTTTGGACTGTGGCAGGAAGCCGGAGTACCCAGAGAGAACCTGCAAACTCCATGCAGAAAGACCCCGGGCCGGGAATCGAACCCAGAACCTTCCTGCTGCAAGGCTATTTCAGACATTTTGAATTGAAAAAGCTTCCTGGACGGAAAGAGAAACGTTTTCAAACTTGGAAATAAAGTCCAGTGGATTTTTTCTTTGAACTTTTCTAATTAAACTTTATTTTTCTTGTATCTGGACTTACATTGGTGTAAGGGGGGGTGTGGTGGCGGTACACGATCCAGGGAGGAACCGCCAGGGTTCGGTTTAACATCTTAGCGAAGGCAAGAGATCCCAGGAAGTGGTCTGCCTGGTTCCCGAAGCGACCTGGAGGACAAGATCCAGAACTTACAGTCATGGCAAAAAGTTTTAAGAATGATTCAAATGTTAATATTTACAAAGTCTACTGCTTCAGTTTTTATAACGGCAATGTGCATATACTCCAGAATGTTCTAAAGAGTGATCAGCGTAACAGCAATTAAGTAAGTCAATATTTGCCTAGAAAATGAACTTTATCCCCAAAACACATTTCATGGTGATTGCAGCCCTGCCTTAAAGGAGCAGCTACCATGATTTCAGTGATTGCTCCATTAACACAGGTGTGGGTGGTGATGAGGACAGGGCTGGAGATCAGTCTGTCAGGATTCAGTCAGAATGACGCCACTGGACACTTTAAAAAGAGGCTGCTGCTTGGCATCATTGTTTCTCTGCTGTGAACCATGGTTATCTCTAAAGAAACACGTGCAGTCATCATTGCACTGCACAAAAATGGCCGAACAGGAAAGAGAATGGCAGCTAGAAAGATTGCACCTCAGTCAGCAATCTATGGCATCATCAAGAACTCAAGGAGAGAGGTTCCATTGTTGCCAAAAGGCTCCAGGGCGCCAAGAAAGACCAGCGAGCGCCAGGACCGTCTGTTAAAAGTGTTTCAGCTGTGGGATCGGGCTACCAGCGGTGCAGAGCTTGCTCAGGAATGGCAGCAGGCAGGTGTGAGTGCATCTGCACTGTGAGGCGGAGACTCTTGGAGCAAGGCCTGGTCTGAAGGAGGGCAGCAAAGAAGCCACTTCTCTCCAGGAAAACCATCAGGGACAGACTGATATTCTGCTAAAGGTACAGGGAGTGGACAGCTGAGGACTGGGGGAAAGTCATTTTCTCTTAGCAATCCCCTTTCCCATTGCTTGGGACATCTGGAAAACAGCAACTTCTCCAAACCGTCCAAGAGCAGTTTGGTGATGAACAACACCTCGCCATCAAGCAAAGCTGATATCTAACTGGCTCAGGGAACAAAACAGAGAGATTTTGGGTCCATGGCCTGGAAACTCCCCTGATCTTAATCCCATTGAAAACTTGTGGACAAACGAAAACCTTCTGACTAAATGCGAGCACTGATTGTGCAGAATGGACGCTATCAGTCAGGGTTTGGTCCAGAAGTTGATTGAGAGCAGCCAGGGAGAACTGCAGAGGTCCTGAAGAAGAGGAGTCAACACTGCAAATATTGACCTGCTGCATTAACTCATTCTGTCATTAAAAGCTTTGGTTACTCAGAATATGATTGCAATTGTATTTCTGTATGTGATGACATCTGACACACATGAAACCCAGAGGGCAGCAGATCAGGTGAAAATATAATATTTGTGTCATTCTCAGTACTTTTGGCCATGACTGTAGTCCTCTTGGATGAAGAAGTTAGATCCTCCAGATTTAACGGCTTTAGAAACAGCTCCTCTAGACTCACTAGTCTAAGTTTAGCTCCATCCTCTAAACAAAGTTGTGCAGCAGCAGCAGCGGGGATAAAGACTCACCCATGCAGGGACAGTACAGCACGTAGCCGCTTTCATCCCTCCTCAGCTCCGCTGCTGAACCCAGACAGATACGAAGCAGAAGGAGAAGAAACAGCAGATTTAATCCGAGCGGTTCGGCCGCCATGACGGTTCATCACGACGCTTCTTCTTCTTCTTATGAGATTTTATGGCGGTTGGCAGACTTGTGAATTGTGCATTACCGCCACCAACTGATATGGAGTAAAGCAAGAAAACAGGAAACGATTCACCCCCCCCCCCCCCCCCCCCAAAAAAAAAAAAAAAAAAAAAAAAACCTGTGTAACTTAAACCAACATAATACTAAATCACATTTGCCCATATAATTTTAATTTACTCTAGGTCATCGTAATTCTGCCAGTTTCTGATGGTCCCATCGGTCCTCCCATCATGCTTCCAACCATCTCCCAGTTCAAATCTTTAATGTCCAGAAATTTTTCTGCAGCCTTCACTATTATTTTGATTTTTTCAGTTTTTTTTTTGTTGTCTTTGCAGTACAATTAATCACTTCTACCATGAAAAGAACAAAATTTGTCTTTTTAACAATTAGTGAGTCTTCATCAATTTTTGGAGATTTCTCTAGAGGTTTGGAATTTGCCGTGTGTTGAACTGTAGATTTGGGTTTTTCTGACTGAGATGGGATCCTTTTTGCAGCTTCAGCGTAGGTTATTCCGAGCTCAAATTTCATTTTTTTAATTTCCTCAGACCTTTTGCTTGCTTCACAGCCGCGATAAGCAGCAGTATGTTCTCCACCACAATTACAGCATTTTATTTTAGCTTCTTTTCCACATTTTCCGTACTCATGTTCTCCTGCACACCTTCCACACCTCTGTTTCCCTTTACAAACTGCTGCAATGTGACCGAATTTTTGGCATTTGAAACATATCAGTGGTGGAGGATTGTAGATTTTGACATTATAGCTTATGTAACCGATGAATACTTTGCTTGGTAATTGCTCTTCTTCGAATTTAATTAACACAGATAAACTGTCAGATCTTTCTCCGTTTCTTGTTGTTTTGAACCGTTTTACTTCTTTTACTTTTGCACCGCTTATGTTTTCCAGAATCTCTTTTTCAGAAATTTTTAGAGGAACTCCTCCAATGACTCCCCTGCTGATCTTTTTGTTCTCCATTAAGCTGCACTGAACTCTTATCCCGTCAATTTTGTTGATCCGTATTGCTTTGCCTTGCTGGGCGCTGTCTCTGCAGTTAATTAGCAGGTCTCCACTGTACAGAATTCTGGCACCTCTGACTTCTCCGACAAGTTTATTGATGGTTTTTGTTAAGTGAACCGGATTCCAATTTGTAAAAGAGTCTGCCTGATTAACGACTTTGAATATGACTTTGAATTCATTTTGTTGTGCTGTGGAATGTATGGAATGATCATCACTGGATTGTTCTGAACTAGATTCCCCTTTAACTGATCTCTGTTTTTTTCGCTTTTTCTCATTTTTTGATGTTGCTGTCTTCCAACCTTCATTGTCACTATTTCCTTCTTCCATCCCACAAGAATCGCTTCCTGTTTCCTCACTACTCACGGCCCAGGACATCTCTCCACAAGCAGAGCAGCTTCAAAACACGCGCCATGCACCACCGGCCTGGTTCCGTGGTTGTCTTCATCATCACGACGCTTCTTCTGCAAGCTGCTGGTAAACACGGCTTTAAGCTCACTACTGCCACCGCCTGGTAGATAGCGGGACATACCGCAGGCAGAGGACTTCATGGCAGTTTGCAACTTTTAGGTGCACACCGCCACCTACTGTACCGGAGCATGCAGCATGAGCCACATCAAAATTTTAAATCTTATTGTATAATCCTATATTCTTAAGATACTTTGTAACATAATCTTCATCATATTTCATACAATTTAGTAATATATTTTTTTCAGTTTCTATTACTTTGCATTCTATAAACTCATCTTTCACTTTTCCTTAATAAAAATAATGTTTTATTTAACCCAGTATGATCATTAGTCGTGTCACAATAATCTCTTTTATCTGTTTGTCTTTTATTTCTATAAAAATACATAAAACCAGTAAATAGAGGTGAGACATGCGTCTGCTCGCTTAAATCGTGTCATTTCCTCTCTGTTTGTGCCACATTGATGTTTTTCAGTTTTTTTTCTCCTTGCCCAGATGTTTGTTGAGTTTACTTCTAATAATACAGTGAAAAATCCTCCACTACCTTTTTTTCTTGCTTGTTTCTTGGTGTCTCTGCCTCATTCTCCTCCTCATGCGTTTTGTAAACTTTAATAAACTTTCTCATCCAGTCTTTGTTTCCCGTTCACACCTCGATGAGCTTCTGGGAGGTTTTCCTTTGAATGATGCACTAATTCCAACCACTGAAACATATTATTCCTGATCTCAATGATTTAATCTTTAGAGAGGCTCTTATTTCTCAATATTTCTGCATCAGTCATTATTTCTTAAAGGCAGCCTCAATTTCAAACTTCGCTATCTGTTTCTGCACATGTGCACTTTCTGGCGTAAATCTGCGGTGAAGTACGGTTTCAGACAGTCATTGAAGCTGATTTATCGCATCACGGTTATTTGAAAATAACTTGGAGACCTAGACTGAGACAACTTTATTGTCATGTTGTGTACACAGTGTATCCAAAAGAAAATTTAAACCTAATTGAACTGGATTAAACCAAACTGAACTAGACTAAACCAAACTGAACTAGACTTAACCTAACTGAACTAGACTAAACTGAACTGAACTAGACTAAACCTACCTGACCTTGACTAAACCTAATTGAACTAAACCAAACTGAACTGAACTGGATTAAACCAAACTGAACTAGACTTAACCTAACTGAACTAGACTAAACTGAACTGAACTAGACTAAACCTACCTGACCTTGACTAAACCTAATTGAACTAGACCAAACTGAACTGAACTGGATTAAACCAAACTGAACTAGACGTAACCTAACTGAACTACACTAAACTGAACTTAACTAGACTAAACCTAACTGAACTGGATTAAACATAACTGAACTAGACTAAACCTACCTGAGCTTGACTAAACCTAATTGAACTAGACCAAACCGAACTGAACTGGATTAAACCAAACTGAACTAGACTTAACCTAACTGAACTAGACTAAACTGAACTTAACTAGACTAAACCTAACTGAACTGGATTAAACATAACTGAACTAGACTAAACCTACCCTGACCTTGACTAAACCAAACTGAACTAGACTAAACCTAACTGAACTAGACTAAACCGAACTTAATTAGACTAAACCTAACTGAACTGAATTAAACATAACTGAACTAGACTAAACCTGCCTGACCTTGACTAAACCTAATTGAACTAGACCAAACCGAACTGAACTGGATTAAACCAAACTGAACTAAACTTAACCTAACTGAACTACACTAAACTGAACTTAACTAGACTAAACCTAACTGAACTGGATTAAACATAACTGAACTAGACTAAACCTACCTGAGCTTGACTAAACCTAATTGAACTAGACTAAACCGAACTGAACTAGACTTAACCAAACTGAACTAGACTTAACCTAACTGAACTAGACTAAACCGAACTTAATTAGACTAAACCTAACTGAACTGGAATAAACATAACTGAACTAGGCTAAACCTGCCTGACCTTGACTAAACCTAATTGAACTAGACTAAATCGAACTGAACTAGACTTAACCTAACTGAACTAGACTAAACCGAACTTAATTAGACTAAACCTAACTGAACTGGATTAAACATAACTGAACTAGGCTAAACCTGCCTGACCTTGACTAAACCTAATTGAACTAGACTAAATCGAACTGAACTAGACTTAACCTAACTGAACTAGACTAAACCGAACTTAATTAGACTAAACCTAACTGAACTGGATTAAACATAACTGAACTAGGCTAAACCTGCCTGACCTTGACTAAACCTAATTGAACTAGACTAAATCGAACTGAACTAGACTTAACCTAACTGAACTAGACTAAACCGAACTTAATTAGACTAAACCTAACTGAACTGGATTAAACATAACTGAACTAGGCTAAACCTGCCTGACCTTGACTAAACCTAATTGAACTAGACTAAATCGAACTGAACTAGACTTAACCTAACTGAACTAGACTAAACCGAACTTAATTAGACTAAACCTAACTGAACTGGATTAAACATAACTGAACTAGACTAAACCTGCCTGACCTTGACTAAACCTAATTGAACTAGACTAAATCGAACTGAACTAGACTTAACATAACTGAACTAGACTAAACCGAACTTAATTAGACTAAACCTAACTGAACTGAATTAAACATAACTGAACTAGACTAAACCTGCCTGACCTTGACTAAACCTAATTGAACTAGACCAAACCGAACTGAACTGGATTAAACCAAACTGAACTAGACTTAACCTAACTGAACTACACTAAACTGAACTTAACTAGACTAAACCTAACTGAACTGGACTAAACGGAACTGAACTAGACTTAACCGAACTGAACTAGACTTAACCTAACTGAACTAGACTAAACCGAACTTAATTAGACTAAACCTAACTGAACTGGATTAAACCAAACTGAACTAGACTTAACCGAACTGAACTAGACTTAACCTAACTGAACTAGACTAAACTGAACTTAACTAGACTAAACCTAACTGAACTGGATTAAACATAACGGAACTAGACTAAACCTACCTGACCTTGACTAAACCTAATTGAACTAGACCAAACCGAACTGAACTGGATTAAACCAAACTGAACTAGACTTAACCTAACTGAACTACACTAAACTGAACTTAACTAGACTAAACCTAACTGAACTGGATTAAACATAACTGAACTAGACTAAACCGAACTTAATTAGACTAAACCTAACTGAACTGAATTAAACATAACTGAACTAGACTAAACCTACCTGACCTTGACTAAACCTAATTGAACTAGACTAAACCGAACTGAACTAGACTAAACCGAACTGAACTAGACTTAACCGAACTGAACTGGATTAAACATAACTGAACTAGACTTAACCTAACTGAACTAGACTAAACGGAACTGAACTAGACTTAACTGAACTGAACTAGACTTAACCTAACTGAACTAGACTAAACCGAACTTAATTAGACTAAACCTAACTGAACTGGATTAA